GATAATGCCGTAACTTCTTGGGACTGGGACAGACACTTATGCACATGGCAGACGAGAGACATCCAAGTACTGACAACTTTCTTCTATGTTAACACAGTTTTCTGCATCTTTCAAACTGAATTACCATTTCTCCTCCCTTGTCTATTCAAATTTACTTCAGTTTCTTTCTCTTCTTGGTACCTGTTGTCACCGAAAATGAAGCAATAATATTCCAAGCAGTATACTCTAAACATTGGGTCCGTCAGATGGCAACAGAGCCTTTGTATGTGTGCACTAGAACAAACTGCTAAAAATGTACTGAAGCACTGTCTTATGTACAGTGAGTGACCCACAATGATATTCTCACCCAATGAACCAATATTCTACAAATTGCAGTGATCTAATAAGGCCTAATAATGAACTGCAACAATATGGCTGTGTTCACTGAGGGAGCTTCACAGACAATGTAATCATCAAAGTGACAGCAAGACAAAAGAGAAAGACAAAATGGACCACTTGGCAATAATGAACAACAAAGCAGAAGCTGATGAATCTGATGTGTAAATTGAGAACGCATTAATAGAAACTGTTGAAGTGTCTGTATGGTTTCAGCCAAACTGTGTGTGTATCTATCTGTATCATACGGCACTTTATATATCAAATGCTACATGTGTGTAGAAAGTGCATAGAGCAGCTTTAGAAAAATAAGAAACAAAGAAGAACAAGGACAACAGTACAATCACCACTGCGGCTTAAAACTGAACAATTTTTACAATGTTTATATCATAGTTTAAGAACTTTCCTGTTCACTTGCATTGAAGATCATGTTCTTGTTAGACATTGACAAAATTTCTTTTCTTTTAAGACTTGAATTCTGACACTTCTCCTGCGTGTTCCAGGTTCATCTTTTGTATGGAAAAAGAAAAGACCCAATATTTTACTAAAACTGGATGTGTTGAGCCGACAAGTGCAGCCTAGCTACCACAACACAAAGTGCTGATCTCTTTTCTAAGGATAGACACATAAGAAGATGAATTCTATCTTTATCTCATTGTGTTTAAATACTGCATCCAATACTGCTGCCGTCACATACTACCATTATTAATATAACACAAACTACACAATGTGTAACAAAATATGTATTAATACATATGTATGCACATACCAAATGTGCACACTGACACAAAAATGGCACATATAAACCCAAAAATTATTTTAGACATTCTAATTATCAATACAAAAATCTCATAACCGGGCCACAGATAAAAACAGCATGATTTCAAGAGGCTACAAACATCAGTTAACCAAATTGTTATAATAGAAATACATGCATACTTGAAGAAAAAATCGTGATTTAAAAAAAAATATTGAAGAAAAAAAAAAAAAAAAAAACCACAGATAATCATTTATCCAGTAATAGACAAATTTATGTTATATATATTGGAAACAGAAAAAAAAAGCCTTACCATAACAGGACAGCAGAAGTCCTAAATGGAAACTGCCAACACAAATGGACAGGAATTTGAAAAGCAAAAATTATGTCAGAGAAAGTGCACAGATTGATTAAGTACTGACACCCTTCAAAAAGACTGATAAAGTGTTGAAACCCTTCAGATAGACTGATAAAGTGTTGAAACCCTTCAGATAGACTGATAAAGTGTTGAAACCCTTCAGATAGACTGATAAAGTGTTGAAACCCTTCAGATAGACTGATAAAGTGTTGAAACCCTTCAGATAGACTGATAAAGTGTTGACACATTTTAGATAGAGTGATAAAGTGTTAATACCCTTCAGACAGACAGATCAAGTGTTGTCACCCTTTAGATAGATAGATAAAGTGTTGACATCCTTCGGATAGATAGATAACCGGGAAGGCTAACCCGGTCAACAAATACCCGCAGAAGTCGGATGTGTTGGCCGAAAGGTGCAAATATCGCAGCCATGCTGTGAACGGACACAAGGCAATTACATCTTCGGATGAACGCAGAAGAAGAAGAAGAAGATAGATTGATCAAGTGTTGACATCCTTCAGATAGACTGATAAAGAACTGTTTTGGGCCTGATCTATCATGTGTGTATTTGAGATCAACATTTCTTAGAAGTGATTTCCCCATCAGGGTTCTGCGATCCCATTTTGAGTGGAAACAAGCATGCTGTAAAAGACGACTTATTAGGCATTTGCCATAGCCAGTCATATGCACCGCAGTCTAGTTTTAAACCACAACAAAATGTGCAAACTGTAATTTCAAGGGTAAATGTAGAAAAAAAGAAGAACTGGTTGTCATCTTTCTTCTTTTTCTTTTTCTGCCCTTCATCGACAGTTGAACAAATGCACAGACTATCATTTACAACTCCCTTCACTGCTAATTCTCTTCTTCTGGTTGTTTCTGTATACAACTTCAGCTCTACCGAAAGATATTCTAGTAACACGTCAACTGTCCCTCCCAGCATCAGTGTCTCATCCTTATTATTAATTCACTGGAATTGGTTACGTTTCACTTTATAGATCTGGCTTGTTTGTATGCAGACTACTGGTTTCTCGCCTCTCAGGCAGATACACTCTGAATTCGAAAGAAACTCCTCTAAGTAGTCACCTTGTATGACAAGTTTGTTATGGATGCATCCGTTAAATTCTAATTTCCCCCAGAATGGGGCTCCAGAGCCCACATGGAGACAAGACTTTTAAAATCAAGAACTTTTGATTTTGCGGTGCTTTTATCCTATGGATGCTCGTGCACATACACACATATAAACAAGTATGACAATGTAGACTATGTATATTTGTGCTTACTTCTTGATAATTAGAACAAGCAGTCCCACAATTTACACCAGTTACAAAGGCTAGATTCTAGGCAAATTTGTTAAGTGACCTATTGGGTTTTTCTAACTGATTATTATTAGGCACAAATGATGTATCTGGTGGATGAAGTACAGGAATATGATACAGCCTAAGTCTAATATGCTTCATTAATTATCTGAATTGAACAGTCCAATAATTTCTACAACCACAAATCCTTTACTTGATTGCCAGCCGGCCTAATGACTTCTCTAGATATTAGATATCTGGCGAGCTGATACAGTCATGATGATACAGCCTAAATTATTCAGGCTTCACATCTAGCTTAGATTTGAGGGACCATTGGTCTGCACACAAATAGGCTATGTCTGTAAAACAGATGTGCATACAAAACTAAAGTTCTGAAACAAAACTAAAGTCCAGAAGTTGACCAGCAACCAAAACTTTGCACCAGAGTTTACAGCCGGTGAGTGCGAAGAAGAAGAAGAAGAAGAAGAAGAAGATACAGAATACAGTGAGTACATCCTATTCAAGATGTGGCACTTTCACTCCATTTTCCTTAGAGGCAGGTTCTTAGATGGAGCATCCTTTTGCCAGTGCATAAAAGAACAAGTAAACGCCATTAAAAGAAGAAAACAGTCAGCAGAACACATCCACTGACCAGACAGTTGATAACCTATCTGACAAATCTTGAGACAATAAGTATTTATTTATGCAAGACACAAATACCTAGCCTAGACAAATGGTTTAGCATATGACACATTATCAGCCTTACACTTCAAACATCCTTCTGGCAAAGCATGCCACATACTCTGCAGCTTGGAACTGCTTTTGTTTTCCTCCCAAGAGAAAAAATATCCACAACTTTACCGAAGACCAAGAGGCCAGTTATTTTAACAGACTGGCCAGTTGCTCTTCCACGTTATAATTGGTTGAAATTACATGCCTGATGAAAAAGGCAGTGTTAAAAAACAGATAATGGCTTTTACACTCTAGACCAATGATGAGTGGCCACTATTCTTTCTCTCAGTAGGTGCCTGAAGAAGAACATAGATGGCTTTAACTACGTGTACCCCTATGTACATGTCGGTTAAGCCCCTAACTCCTGTACTGCTGCTTTGAGAGGAAAGATACACTAAATTCACAGATGAATGGGAACAAAGTACAAAACGATCAAAGATATTTATATCATGAGACACTGGCATTGTAATAATGACAAATGTGATCACAAGGAGAAGAAATTTACCTGTCCACTCATGCAGTCTGCCATTTTGTCTGCCATAAAACTATTTCCTCACTTCTGTCTGCCTGTAACCTGAATTTGTATATGAGGTGAAACATTCACAAGCTCAAGTTTGCCCATGTGTAAATTCCCCAACAGCTAAGATTAAAAGGAGCATGTCTGCAGTGTACATGGATTGTATACTACATGCTTGAGAAACAGCTGCCATTTTGTAGTGCTTGCTTCACAAAAATTAGGAAATTTACATTAAAAATGTATGCATTTATATGTATATATATATTTATAAATATGTACGTATATGTACATGCAAATATGTATGGTATATACACACAAGAAATAAGGGCGAAACATGTCAGATGTATAAATCTGAGAGAAAAAGAAACAAAGAGAGAAAAAAAAAAGACACTCTATGTTGTGTAGTTATCCACTAGGCACAAGATGTAGTTGTCAACTTGATTATCAATATCAACAGCACGGTAACAAATAGGAACGAGTTAATACAATAAAACTAGGGTCAGTTTCTCCTTGTGATGTTGGATATGACAGAACTATACCACACTGTGCCAAAAGTAGATCCGGGACAAGATGTCTGCGTTTCTAAGAAGGATGTCGGTGTGGCAGTTTTGGTTGTGCAAAATCATTCACATAAAATTTAAGTAACCTGAGACCCCGCATACACAAACGTTGACGCAGCAAATATCCAGAAATCTGAAGCTGTTGAATGATGTGTTCTTAGAGAAAGTCACAGGTAGGTTATAACTGCTGATAAGAAGACTGGATGCACTTTCAGAAATACCTGACAGCCTCTATGAAAGTTACATCCTCGTGGCAAGATATGGCCAACCTTACCGAGATAAGTTACCAACCAGGTCTGTTTGACTGCAGAAGATTGATTTAGATTTAGGGCCAGTGTCTTTCCCTACAACATTCACAGAGTATGTTATTTGATAACTACAAAAATGTGGCTATTGAAGTTAGGGGTTAACAAATAGACATTGGCTGCTCTTGCTGTTCTTGATGCTGGTCAACTCTAGCGTTGTGATCGTTCTCACTTTTGGCCTGTTTATTCTTCTCTGCGTTCAGGTCTAGAACTTCCTTCATTAGAGGCTGAATACCTTCAGGATTGATTTTCAGCAGCACTTGTGAGTGCTCCTCATTCAGGTTGCGGATGTCTGTGAGTTTCATGAGAAGTTTGGGGTACATCCAGCGTATAACATGTGGTGGATGTTTGGACTCCAGATAGCGTAGAAGGAGCAGGGCATAACGTTCTTGCTCTTCAGCCACGTAGTGCTTGTCTACAACCTGCGGCCTATCAGGTGAGTACAAAGCAATCATCAGAAGAAGGATAAGAACTGTTTCATCTGCCTGAAGATCAACAGCTAAGCTCTTCACAAAACGCATGTGTTCATCAAAAAGACCCGAACCCTGACCCATCCTAAGTTGGTCTGTGGTCATGGCATACTTCTCCTTGTCATAAGGATCCAAGAACTGCATCTTATCACTATCAAAGGTGATTACTGAGCGAATGATTAGCAGCTCAATGCTTCCTCCCTTCAACAAGCTTATCTGATCAGTCTGAGACAAAGCCTTGAAAGACTTGATCTTCTTGGACATGTCAATGACTCGCCGCACACTGATCTCCGCTATGTTGACCAGCTCCGTCATAGAAGGATGGTTCCTAGAGACCTCAGACTCCACACATATCTCCAGACTCTGATGGTAGGCACTAACGATTTCATTGATGGCCATTTCTTCCTCTGGTTCAAGGACTCGGAGTCTGGGCGCAGCAGATGATGAGATGTCCATGCTCTGCATTTTGGTCCTTTCCACTTCGCGGAATTTGCTGGAAAATAAAATGGTGGTATTATTTTATGTTTTTATATAATAGAATTTATACAATACTTTTTTTAATGAGATAAATATCAAATTTATTTTATGTAACAAATGGAATAACTGTAATTCTTTCTCTTCTTTTCTTCCTCCTCAAGGAAATGGTGGGGGGGGGGGGGGGGGGGGGGGGATGTAAGAATCTTGTGTGTTCTTTCTAATGTGTTGCAAAAGTCGTCTTTATTTCTTTAAATCCATAGCTTGCATTGTCTCTCCTTGTTCTGTATTTATTAGATTTCTTTAGCAGGAGTCTCATAAAAGTTATAGGTTACCACCAAACAATTTAACCATATAATTTTAATTATTTAATTAGTACACATACAATTTAAAATAACAGATACATTCACTAATGAAAAACACTGTAACAATGTCATTGTTGCCAAATTGTCTTTACAAATTATATTTATTTTTACATCACATGAAAAATGACTGAATATATTTTGGTAGGTTTTGAAACTGTTGTAGCTTGACTTGTCACTGCAGACAGGTTGTAGCAGGTGTATGAGGTTGTCACTGCAGACATCACACAAGCAACAAACACCCGATGACACAAAGTTTGTATGTACCGCGTTAACTATTGATGGCCTGCCTATATTGCGGCCCCTGGCAAAAGTAAAGATAACAAAAAACAGGTGTATGGAGGTCAATACGATTTATAAAAGAAAAAAGTAAGATTTTCAAAAATAACAGTACATCATTTCTACACCTTTAATTTGCATGACTGTGGCTTTCCTGGATAAATCAATATCAGTCTGAATTATTTTTAAAAACAAAAACAAACAAAAAAAAAGGACCCCAAAAAAAATGGTAGGATGTTACACAGTTCGAAACAAGTTTTCCTCATCTATCACTTTTACTTTTGATAAGAAAAAGTATTCTTCTGTTCTCCCTTTCTATGAGCAGAATTAATCACTTTCAGAATAACCTATAATTTTTTTATCCGAATAATATTACTAGTGTTTTTGTTTAAATTTTCAGTTTGAAAGCTATTTTTTTTGCTTAAACATGAACAACATTATTCAGTTTGCTGTCAGGGGCAACAACACTTCTGCAACAGAATGTATCACATTTTTAAAGAAAAAAACATGGAAAGAGATTTAAAAAAAAAAAAAAATTTGTAAGTATTCTCACCATTCTGGCTGTTTTCCTGTTGTCTTTTGACTAAAAATGGGAGAAAAGAAACAAAAGTCAACATTGGTATCAAGACAGGTAAAACTGTAGCTTAGATAATTTATTCTTACAATATTAAAATAATTAGATCTTTAACCGAGTGTGTAAAATACAGCATAATGTCTCTTGTTACAAAATATCAATTTTCTTTCATTTCATGAATTTCAATAATTTGAAAGGAAACTGGAATAACTTACTGCAACATTTAGAATCTACGTTTAAACGTAATACTTCCCAAATCCATTATGGCAATCAATAAATTCACACGACTGCTGTGTGTATATTTGTTATTATGTCCGGACACAATCCATAGCATGAATTGTAGGTACACCAAATATAAGCTCTAGTTTTAACCAGACAGGTGGATTTCGTTTGACGGTTGAAATACTCAACAGACGTATTTTTTTCTATTTCTTTGCGTTCACCAGGTGTAAACTCTGGTAGAAATTTCTGGTTGTTCGTCCACTTCTGTACTGCCGTCCTGTTCCAGAACCTGGGTGTTGCGTCTGCATCTATTTGACAGATCTGACACGTGTGTGCAGATTGTTAGTTCCTTGCCTCTCATGCAGATGCACTCCGACTTCGAAGCAAGCTCCAATTAGTTGTCTCTTCGACATGCTTTTGGGTAGGCAGTGGGCCTATTCTTGTTTTCCCTATAATAGGGCCCTGGAACCCACAAGGGGGATCAACGGATGTACTGAATTGCAAAGTTATGAAAGTGATTTAGAACCGACCCTAGAATTTGTTGACTGTTTAGTTTTACTAGACATTTTCCATTCATTAGATGCAAACCACTACAGCGTTAGCTGGCAATCTAGGGAAAAGGGGGGGGGGGGGGCTTTGCGTGGTCTCGAGGCATGGCGTCTGCCTCGAGTGCTGGAGATCCCGGGTTCAAGCCCCGGTGAAGGCTGTGATTTTTCACGTGGACTTCTAGTAATTTTCCCTGGTCTCTTGGTAGTAAGATCGGACGCCCGTGTGTATTGTTGCGCACGTAAAAAATACATTAGCAGTTGAAAAAAGAGTAGCCTAACTTCGTTGCCCGGGTAAAATTTGGAGTTTAAAGTCCATCCAAAGTACTTCATTATCCTTGCCGGTGCTATGCCATTTTATGCAGTGCGCTGACAATCTTCGGACTCAGGCTTGAGTTAGAAGTAGAGCGCAGCACTTATGGATTACTTACTCTTGTGCCATGATGTTTATCTGTTGTTTAAACCAATCTGGCAACCTGCATGTAACCGGAATCGAACCAGGTATTCTGGAACTAATAAGAGCTTTCGCAACCCTAACCACAGACGCCAACTATGAACGTTTACGTAAATAAAATTTTGACATTAGTGTTATAATAAATAATAATAGGTATATTTGTATACAGTGAAAATAAGGCGTCCTTGAATATTGAATATAAGCTTTATGACAGGCACGTCAAACTAAGGCTCTCCCTGGCTCATATGGGTCACATTTGTGTTGCCGTGATAGTCATGCAGCACTTCTTCTTTGTAAATAAGAAGCTTCTCTATTAGCTTTTGTAGAAAGTCCTGGATGGTCGTCCATTCTGTTTCTGGCTTTGTGGCAGGGTGACAGGGCCTACCTTTTGCGTATACATTCACGTTACTGACTTATTTGCGTACTGTTAGCTGTTCCTTGCAGCTCGGGTGGACGAACTCCGACTTCAAATAAAGCTCCCAATTAGTTCTCTCATACGACATGCTAGTTGTGAAAGCAATAGGGTTCCCCTTAATGGTTCTCTGGAACCCACACGAAGAGTACGACAACCAACTGAAGACATTCAATCACCAGTATTGCAGAAAACGGTGTCCTGTGGGTCACATGTGTGCTTGCAAACGGTCGGGTTATTCTTTTCGCTGATTTATTTTTTTAAAAACATATTTAATTCGAATCACTGCGTTGTATCTCTGCACATCTCTTCCTTTTTCCTCCTTCGAAAGTCAATTTATTTGAAGATTCTTAGTTTTCCCCCGTCGGTTTGGTAACTCACGTTTTGGACTGGGTGCAGAATTTTTCTTACTTTTTTCTTCTTCTTCTTTTTCGCGGTCACCAGCTGTAAACTCTGGCGAAAAGTTCTGGTTGTTCATCCACTTTTGGACTGCAGTCCTGTTCCAAAACCTGAGTGTTGCGTGTGCATCCGTATTACCGATCTGACTCATGTGTGTGCAGACTACTGGTTCCTTGCCTCTCAGACATATGCACTCCGACTTCGAAGGAAGCTCCCAATTAGTCATTTCTTACGACATGCTTTTGGGTAGGCAGTGGGTCTATTCTTGTTTTCCCTTAAATAGGGCCCCGGAACCCACACGGGGATCTTACTGCTTTATTGCAGGTAGCTGCTTCGGGGATACGTCAGTTAAGTGATTTTTATGTATTCGTGAGTTTTGTTTTATTTATTTGATGCGATGATGAAGGCTTTGTAGCCGCAACGTTCATTTTCCGTTTGCTATATTGTGACGCATGCTGTTCTACTTTTCTTTCGTTTTTATAACTTTTAATGCCTTATATCTGGAAAAATATTTATATCATAATATTCCGTTGTATCTTCGCACATTTTTTCCTATTCAACCTTCAAACGTGAATTCATTTCAAGATTATTTATATGTTGTTGAGGTTCCTTATACAACTATTTTGTGTTGTTCTCATTAAGTTTACGAAAGTGCAGGAGTCAGGTTTTTTTTACTGTGCTGGCTGTAAACAATCAACACCCAAGAGTTGTCCTCCCTGACACGCAGGGAATGATTGTGTTGCATATCTATGGAGATGTAACTATGACAAGAATGATTGTGCTGCATTCCGACCAAGATTTCACTTCAGCTAGTGGTGCAATGGTAAACAACTTGTTTCTGGTGGGTTCAATAGTAAAAACAGCAACAATAAATCGGACATACACAAGCTCAACGTAACTGAACGGTTGTACAATAAAACCTCATTAACACATACTGGTTCAAGAACACTCAGTTAATTTAAGCAAAATGTTGGTCCCGAGACGGTTGTATTATTATTATTATTATTATTATTATTATTATTATTATTATTATTATTATTACCAGTCCGTTGCAAAAGTCGTACCTTCAAACTTTTAACAATTGTTAGAAAACTACAGATCAACACGGATTTTTGCACGTGGTTTCACATTTCCCAGATGTCTGGCACCGACTTTAGGTTGGGTCCAACTAGGGAGTCCAATCATAATTATACAATACGCGGAATCGAAACCATAATCTTCGGGGAGCTAATTTTAAGGTCACAGTAAAGCCCACATATTAGCGGTAGTCAATCATATGACAACTACACCGTCAGCGGCGTGCAGAACATGTGTAGTTCATTGGCTAACAGGATGTGCTAATGTCAGTGGGCAGATTTTGGGCAGAGGAAACATTAGGAACACTTCAGAGAATGAGAACTGAAACGAACACATAATTAGGAGAACGAGAACAGAAACTAGCGCATAATTAAGAGAATGAGAATAAGAGAATGAGAAAATAAGTTAGTGCACAGGTAAGAGAATTAGAACAGAAACGAGAGGAAAACTATGACATGTTGATTGGGGTGGGGGTGGGGGGGGGGGGGGGGGGTGGTGTGTTAGGAAAGCGAGAGAAAGGAAGGGAAAATTAGAAGAATTAGTACATAAATGAAGGGAAACTGAAGAGAATGAAAAGAAAAACGTAGGAAAAGTTCGCGGAATGGGAACAGAAACGGTATAAAGCTATATATATATATATATATATATATATATATATATATATATATATATATATATATATATATATATATATATATATATATATATATATAAACAGTGTAATATAATTAGCAAAGAACAGACGAAGATTATGGAAAAAGACAAACAGAAATAGAGAAACACGAACAAAAGTGCGAATAAACAGGGGTAAGATTTTAGTGCTATATGGTAACCAGTGGCGCAAGCAAGGTCAGGCGGTACCCGGTGCCGAAAATGTCGTTACCTCAATGGCGTAGCAATCTCAGGTTGGACCTGGTGCGGAAAACATCATGTTACGCATACTAGCATTATATGAATAGGTGGTATACGGTGCGGAAAATTTCTTGTCACCCCTACACACATTCAAAAACACTCACAAGCATTTTTAATACTGAAAACATATTTTGCCATCGCTCCCCCCCCCCTTTTGCCCCCCGAATGATTACACCCGGTGCGCCCAGCCCCCCCCCCCCGCCCGCTACGCCTCTGTATGGTGAAGCCACCGTGGTCTAGCGGCTAGACACTCGCTAACGGACCCGAAGGTCAGATAATTTTTTCTCCAAACGTGACCTTCGCTCCCATGTCGGTCCAGCCTTTAATGGATACTAGGTAACGTCCTGGGAAGTGAAGGCAGCTGGTGTTATGTTGACCGCATCACCCATGGATTGATCTATAAAACTGTGATACCAGCCTGATATGCCCAATGTGGCACTGGCGCATAATGAGGCATTTCCTTAACTACTTAGTACTTGTCTTGATACCTTGACTCCAAGAGTGAGCCAGCACGGCCAGTGCGATGCTATTAAAAAAAAATACACGTCTAGCCTTATATGCCCAGTAGGCGTGGAAAATAGCACTTTACTTACTTCACTTGCTTTTACTAATGTTATAATGACAAACATTACAGAATACAGAACTGAACGAATAATTACCGATTTTCCTCAATCCGCTGTCGCTTCCTCATCTTCTCCTCGTCTGTAAGTATGTACTCCTTTCGCATGCCGATGTCAAAACATTTTCGTAAACGGCATCGTTTGCAAAATCTGCGGTTGGACACATCCATCTTGCACTTCTCCTCATACGGGCATTTGAAGTAATCCTGGGGGTAAATGGTAAAAGGGGTGTTAAGGGGCAATGTTTATCTCAGTTAAAACCAAGAAGTGTTGAAGAGGATGTTTCTTATTACAATTCTACTTTACTACTACCCCCACCATCACTACTACTACTACTACTACTACTACTACTACTACTACTACTACTACGCTACTACTACTGCTACTTCTACTACTACTACTACTACTACTACTACTACTACTACTACTACTACTACTACTACTACTACTACTACGCTACTACTACAACTGTTGCTGCTGCTACTACTACTGTTGCTACTACTACTACCATGCTGCTACTACTACTGCTATTGCTGCTACTACTACTACTATTGCTGCTGCTACTACAACTGCTTCTACTACTACTACTACTGCTGCTACTATTACTACTACTACTACTACTACCTCTACTTCTTCTTTTACTACTATTAATACTACTGCAGCTGCGTTGCTGCTTCTACTGCTAACACTGCTGTTGCTGCTATTACTACTACTGATAGTGATGTTGTTGTTGCTATTGCCAATACTACTACCAATGCTGATGCTACTTTACTACAACAGATGCTGCTACTGCTACTATTACCATCCCCACTACTATGAGAACGGAACAGAAGATTAACAACTGCTAGCCCTATCAAAAAGTGCAACACGATGATGATGATGATGATGATGATGATGATGATGATGATGATGATGACGACGACGATGATGACTGAGACGACTCACATATAAATATGCATTTGTTCAAGTAGAAAAAATATACGTTTATTCAAGAATGTATTAATCCACGTGATGAATCACAATAATGGTAGGGATGCCGAAGCACAGCAGTTACTAGCAGCCTTCACTGTCGACCCAAGTGTCTTGCTTAATGTTAATATCATCATTATCATCATCAATTCCCACTTTTGCCGATAAGCGTCGTGTGAAAGGAAGAGTTCGCGAACCATTGCTCGATGGGCAGAAATGGCTATTTTCATTCTGTGTCAAGATAGGCGCTTTTCAATGTCATCAGTCCCCATTCTTACTAGATGAACGAACCATGTGATTTTCTGTTTCTCAGTGTTTCTTTATGGTCCTCTTGGTGCTGTTCCTAGAGTCCGTCTGCTAATACCATTTCGATCTGTCTCAGATGGCGGCTTTTCTCAGGCATCTCATTTCACAGGTGCTAATTTTACGTATGTTAGAAGTTGATAATGTCCAAGTCTTGCACTGGTAGCAGAGTTTTAGTAAAGATATGACGTTTATAATCAGTTTCTTGTAATGTTAACATATTAGTGTAAGAAAACAAAACCTAAACACTAAACGCGCATATTTACAGTCACTGCGCATAAAACCAGGGAGGAACCGTCTCAGTTAAGGTCATATTTAGGAGGTCAATGTGTTTTTGTTAGTTCTGCCGAGACGTTACACTCGCGCGGTTTGAGTCCACGGGATGTTGACATTTGCATCTTCAAGGTCGTCTTGGCGGCAACAGACGCTGCACTCCAGTCTGAACAAACACACTCAAGGCAGGCCTGATGGTTTGTCCAAGCTTTCCTCAAGACTCCCCCAGGTCACCTCTGTTGAAACAGAGCCAGGAGGGGTGGCCAATATCATCAAAGCAGGGCCTTGTCTCTTGTCATCCTTAAACAGGCTCCCTTTTGTGTTCTCAATAAACGCTTTTTTTTTTTTAATATTCGCTTTATCAACTCGATTTAAGCTACTATGGTCGATGTGGTGGTAATCAACGTTTGCTCTACTGACCATGTTTGGCTTCTAGGTACAGAATTGACTATCTGGATCTTTTTTGCCATTACGATATGCTGTCACGAGTGACGTCACTACACACTGGGCATTCCCATGCGTACGCAGTCCTCTGAAGCAGCAGCCACTCCAAGGCACATCGATTAATTGCTCCCATGAAAAGTTGGATGATAATTCACCAGCCTTACCCGTAGAACGGTGGTGATATCAGCTCTTTTATGGTTCCCCCCGCTTGCTTTGGTGCATTACCTGAAAGTTGCTCCGCTCCTTCATCACCTTTTACCCCGGTATGCCCAGGTGTGTAGATTCAGGCGACAGGCTGACACAGATGATCTTCTATGCCATGATGTCAAACTGTCCAGCATCTCGTCTCGCGAGCTTCCGCTGCCTCTTTTCGTCTCCAACTTTACCACCGTCACGATGCACGCCAGTTGCCCCCCCCCCCCCCACCCCCCAAACCAACCTAATGACCAAAGAATGTAGACTGTGTCTTTCTGATGTGGGAAATCATTTCTACTTTGTGAGTCAATTTCTGGAAACATCTTTATTACTCCTTTTATCTGCCCATTAGTTATCATTAACTCCGCATCTCCGCCGCTTGTGAAATGCTGCCTGTGCTTAAGCTATTCTATTCTACATTCAACTTCTTCAGTACATGACTCTGCTATTATCAGGGTACCCAAGTATTTAAACGTATCAACTTGCTTGAGGAATGTCCCACATTTTGTATGTTGCATTTAGAAGGCACCGTAGTCTCCAATTATCATTTCTTCTGTACTGGTGTGATTATTCAAACTAAGAACTGGTTACAACTGGAGAATATGGTGCATATCGGTAATATCCACAAAAATGCAATCAATAATGAGATTAATGAACGAATTGTAAAAGCGTCTAAAGTAGAAAAATATAGTCAGACAAGCGGAAATATTTCCTTCATTGGGGAGTAACGTCGATATCTTTCGCATGCTAACTAGGAGATGCCACACGATTGGATCGTTAGAAGCAGATGAATCGTTACGAGCCGGGAGATTGCAAGTGCAGGTCGATATATTGAAAATAACAGTGGGAACAACCTGGAAAAAATGCAGTGGGGGCACCAAACTAGCTGGTTCATACATTGGGCCACCTGCTGAGCTAGGGAGACTCGCTGGGGAACTACATGAAGTTAAATGAGTCACAAATTTACGTGCTTATATTTTTTACTTTTTTTTGAAACTGATAATCAGATCAGAACAATGGTAAACAAATATGCCAGAACACAGTGAGCTAAGAAGCTCCCATATCCATCAGTACATGATGAGATAAGAACCATACATATCCATCAGTACATGATGAGATAAGAACCATACATATCCATCAGTACACGATGACCTTATGCAAGCTCACATATCCATCAGTACACGATGACCTTATGCAAGCTCACATATCCATCAGTACACGATGACCTTATGCAAGCTCACATATCCATCAGTACACGATGACCTTATGCAAGCTCACATATCCATCAGTACACGATGACCTTATGCAAGCTCACATATCCATCAGTACACGATGACCTTATGCAAGCTCACATATCCATCAGTACACGATGACCTTATGCAAGCTCACATATTCATCAGTACACGATGACCTTATGCAAGCTCACATATCCATCAGTACACGATGACCTTATGCAAGCTCACATATCCATCAGTACATGATGAGCTTATGCAAGCTCACATATTCATCAGTACACGATGAGCTTATGTAAGCTCACATATTCATCAGTACACGATGAGCTTATGTAAGCTCACATATTCATCAGTACACGATGAGCTTATGTAAGCTCACATATTCATCAGTACACGATGAGCTTATGCAAGCTCACATATCCATCAGTACACGATGAGCTTATGTAAGCTCACATATTCATCAGTACACGATGAGCTTATGTAAGCTCACATATTCATCAGTACACGATGAGCTTATGTAAGCTCACATATTCATCAGTACACGATGAGCTTATGTAAGCTCACATATTCATCAGTACACGATGAGCTTATGCAAGCTCACATATCCATCAGTACACAATGACCTTATGGAAGCTCACATATCCATCAGTACACGATGACCTTATGGAAGCTCACATATCCATCAGTACACGATGAGCTTATGTAAGCTCACATATTCATCAGTACACGATGAGCTTATGTAAGCTCACATATTCATCAGTACACGATGAGCTTATGTAAGCTCACATATTCATCAGTACACGATGAGCTTATGTAAGCTCACATATTCATCAGTACACGATGAGCTTATGGAAGCTCACATATCCATCAGTACACGATGACCTTATGCAAGCTCACATATCCATCAGAAAATGATGAGCTAAGAAGCTCACATATCCATCAGTACATGATGAGCTATGCAAGCTCGCCAATTTATGAGCAATCGCCAGGACCGAGACAGACACAAATCTGTCAGTATTCACGAAGACAACGTAAGTCATAAATCTTTCAGTATTCACGAAGACAAAGTAAGTCACAAATCTGTCAGTATTCACCAAGGCAAAGTAAGTCATAAATCTGTCAGTATTCACAAAGACAAAGAAGTTCATAAATCTGTCAGTATTCACCTAGACAAAGAAAGCCATAAATCTGTCATTATTTCGCAGTCATAAACCAGTCAGTTTTCACGATGACAAAGAAAGTCAAAACCTGTCAGAATTTACCAAGACAAGGAATTTCACAAATCTGTCAGGATTAACGAAGACAAAGAAGGTCATACATCTGTCAGTATTCGCCAAGACAAAGAAAGCCATAAATCTGTCAGTATTCACTGAAGTAAAGAAATTCACAAGCATATCAATACAAGGTTTAAAAATTTTTTTTAAACACACACACACACCGAGTTAACGAAACTGTTACACTCACTCACTTTCTTATAAACCAGAGGGCCGCACATACACACACACACACACACACCGAGTTAACGAAACTCTTACACTAACTCACTTTCCTATAAACCGGAGGGCCGCGCGCGCACACACACACACACACACACACACACACACACACACACACACCGAGTTAACGAAACTGTTATATCCACTCACTTTCCTATAAAGCAGAGGGCCGTACACACACACCGAGTTAACGAAACTGTTACACTCACTCAATTTCCTATAAATAAGAGGGCCGCGCGCGCACGCACACACACACACACATACACACACACACCGAGTTAACGAAACTGTTACACTCATTCACTTTCCTATAAATCAGAGGGCCGCACACGCACACCGAGGTATATAGGTATATATATATATTTTTTTTAAAAACAAAGTGGGGCGGGGGACTGGGAGCGGGGGGAGGGAGCCGCACTGTCAAGTGACTCAGAAATCTGAGTATAGAGAACATGAGCCTCTGAAACGACCTGGAAATCGGCCAGGCGTACAACTCTCTCTAAATGTATGTGTTATATACCAGAGGTCGCCAAGCAGAAAACGGACATTCCTATAAATAAACAGAGAGAGGAACCATTTGAGGCCGTTAAATATTATGAATTAATCAAGTAACAGAAAGTGTTGTGAACGGCACTCATAGAAAGAAGTAGAAAGATAGAAGAACACACTAGACAACATAAAAATCGATACCGGTAACTAATGCTTTCGATTTTTATGTTGTCTAGTGTGTTCTTCTATCTTTCTACTTCTTTCTATGAGTGCCGTTCACAATACTTTCTGATACTTGATTAATTCATAGAAAACGGACAGCAGAAATATCGGAGACATTGAAAAGGTACTAAACACGAAGCGAACTGAAGGGTCCCTTGCATAGATCTCTCCCTGCCTTGGCGCTGCAAGACATTCCAGAAGTAAAGAAGATATAAGTTTGATTTTTATTAGTATCAATTTGTTTGGTTCCATAAAAGACACGTGCACAAATGAAAGTGAATGACACTTACAAGTCCTTTTGGTGCGTTACGTCTGAAGAAAGCTTTACAAGACTCGCAGGAGATGGCGTCGAAGTTGTAGCCCAGCGCTCTGTCCCCGCAGACGCCACAGTACTTGTCCTCCTTGTTCTTGCGGGCCTTGCCACATCCCATACCGTCCGTGGGTGAGTGGTCCAGCGAACGGTAGTGGTGGGACATGTGGTCCATGCCACCGGGGTCATCGAAGCTGTGGAAGAGAAGATGAGGTTGAAATCTCAGATAACATGACCAGGGACAACGGTGACATAACCAGTGATAATATCGACATAATCAGTGAAAATACTGGCACAATCAGTGATATCCCTGACTTAACTAATAATAATTTTGGTATAACCAGTGATAATATTGGCATAACCAGTGAAATACTTACATAATCAGTGATATCACTGACAAAACCATTTATAATTTTGGTATAACCAGTGATAATATTGACATAACCAGTGAAAATACTGGCATAATCAGTGATAGCACTGACAAAGCCATTAATAATTTTGGTATAACCCGTGATAATATCAATATAACCAGTGAAAATATCAACACAGCCAATAAAAATATCAACATAACCAGTGATAATATTAACATAACCAGTGATAATATCAACATAACCAGTGAAAATACTGGCATAATCAGAGACGTCACTGACTTCACCATTAATAATGTTGGCATAACCAGTGATTATATTGACATAACCAGTGATTATATTGACATAACCAGTGACAATACTGACATAATAGGTGATATCACTGAGACAACCAGTGAAAAAGTTGGTATAACCAGTTACAATACTGGCTTAACCAGTGATAATGATGACATAATCAGTGATAATGATGACATAACCAGTGATAATGATGACATAATCAGTGGCAATACTGACATTAAAAAAACGCTGACATAACCAGTAATACTGCAGACATAACCAGCGATAAAGGTGACAGACGCAGTGATAATGTTGACATGCCCAGTAGAAATACTGACACACCCAGTGATAACACCGAAGTAATCAATTATTATACTGGCATTGTTGGTACTCGGGTTCCATTTAGGAGAATATACTCACAGCACCCTAACTGTTGTAAAACGCGACCAATAATGAGTGTGCTGAGTCTGGTTGGGGAAAAGGAGCAGATATCGCAGAGTAGCTGTAAACTACAATGCAACATGATAGCTCTTTTAAAAGCGATCGCAGAAGAAGACAAAGAAGGCATAAAGAGGTAAAGATATGAAACTATGCGCGCTGAAATATTTACTCAACGAAACATTACAAAAGAAAGAAAGAAAGAAAGAAAGAAAGAAAGAAAGAAAGAAAGAAAGAAAGAAAGAAAGAAAGAAAGAAAGAAAGAAAGAAAGAAAGAAAGAAAGAAAGAAAGAAAGAAAGAAAGAAAGAAAGAAAGAAAGAAAGAAAGAAAGAAAGAAAGAAAGAAAGAAAGAAAGAAAGAAAGAAAGAAAGAAAGAAAGAAAGAAAGAAAGAAAGAAAGAAAGAAAGAAAGAAAGAAAGAAAGAAAGAAAGAAAGAAAGAACCAGAAACATTTCTACGAATATTAAATCTGACATAGTGAACTTGAAGTACAGAATAATTACCGCGTGAAACTGACCATTAAATGACAGCGCTTTTCTACTTCATTGTGATGCTTACTTGCTCAAGTATCTGTTCACTTTCCTTACTCATTTGTTATTTTTTAAGCTTACTTCGTCAAGTCGCAAGGTTCCTTTTTTCATTTTTGATGCTTACTTGTACATAGCCCATGCACTCGTCTTCATTTGGCAGGTTAATCTGCTCATGCAAACTAGATATTTCCTCAAGCTTACTTCTTCACTTTTTTGTGTTTTTGTTATTACGTATACACTCCTTTATGCATTATTCGTGTTTACTTATTAATTTATCATAATTATCTGTCCATTCTCACCGCTCATGTTTGCTTATTCATTTATTATATTTATCTGACAGCTTCTGCGTTTACTTGTTATTTCTCATGTTTGCGTGTTCATTTCTCATGTTTGCGTGTTCATTTCTCATGTTTGCGTGTTCATTTCTCGTGTTTGCGTGTTCATTACTCATGTTTGCGTGTTCATTACTCATGTTTGCGTGTTCATTTCTCATGTTGGCGTGTTCATTTCTCGTGTTTGCGTGTTCATTACTCACATTTGCGTATTCATTACTCATGTTTGCGTGTTCATTTCTCATGTTTGCGTGTTCATTTCTCATTCTCACTTATTTTATTTCTGTTATTTTCTTTCTGATGATTTATTAAAATCTCAAACCTATTCGTGAATAAATGTTGCTTTTGACTGTTTAGTTCTGCACGTGTGAGCTGGGTCCCATTGGAGGTAGGGGGGGGGGGGGGGCGCAAGAATATTCCCACCGTCCCCGTAACAATCATGGCATAGGCGTCTACTAATTAGGGCTGTCCCTAGAAGCCCCGGGGCCTTTGCTGAGATGCGAGGAACCAACAGTCTGTATACAAGCAGACCAGGTCAGTCAAGTGGATGTGCATGCAACAATCAAGTTCTGCAACTATATTAAAGTTCAGAAGGGGACGAACAGCCAGACCTTTTAACAGTCAGTGAACGCAGAAGACGAAGACGAAATAAAAAGAAGAAGAAGAAGAAGAAGAAGAAGAAGAAGAAGAAGAAGAAGAAGAAGAAGAAGAAGAAGAAGAAGAAGAAGAAGAAGAAGAAGAAGAAGAAGAAGAAGAAGAAGAAGAAGAAGAAGAAGCAGACGAAGAAACAGGAAGAGGAGGAGGAGAAGAAGAAATTTTACATTTACAGCAAAACTTTTATAAATGTGTGTAAAAAACGTCTCTCTATTAAAAATGTAATCTATTTTATTTTTCACGTTTTTATAAAGGCATTGTCATTCCCCCCACCCCCCTCCCCTCTCCTTCTGTGCGAAATCATACTATTTTTGCACAGAATAGGGTGGTTTCTTTGTTAAACAAATCTGAGTGTGTTTGATTTACAGAGGGGATGATGATGTTCGTCTTCACTGCCGATCAAATATTTGACAGACGATTAAGCTAAATCAAATACATAAAGGTCACCATGGAAACAAACTCTGGCTGTCTGGTAGGCGTACACTCGCCGCGGCGTGCTGTTTGAAATCCCACAATACGCGCGTGGGAGGGCGACACATCGACATGAAAAAACGTTACACGGAATTACTTTTTTTTTTTTTTTAAAGCTCTTTCCCCCCCCCCCCCCCCACCCTTTTTTTTCTCTTCGAAATCATCGGTACTGTAACTTAACACGGCTGAACGTACCTGCGATTACATACAAACTTTTAACACTATTTCACATATCACTAACGATTGTGAGATGTGTGTGTCTAGGTGTGTTTATGTATGATGTAAACACAGCTGACTTTGATTACCACTCTCATTTCAGACATCTTCAAAAGTGTTCCAACATATACATTACACCCACCACATGCGCGCGCACGCTCACACACACACACACACACACACACACACACACACACACACACACACATATATATATATAACCTACAAGAGTGTATATCTGTCAGAGGTGATATTCGTTGTCGCAAATTTATCTCCCTTATTTAGATTTATCACCTTGACGTTGGTGCTATAAATAATGTTTTCTTTCATGCTATTCTTTGTCCGTCCGAAATACTTCATGTCCTTAATTTATCGCAACTCTATTACCTATTTAGCTTTTTCTTTCATTCTTGTCTAAGATGCGCTGAAAGGTGAAAGGCCTGACTTCAGTTGCATCTTGATTTATATGAGTAGAATGATGCAGTTCTTCTTCTTCATCTTCTTCTTTTTCTTCCTTCTACTTCTTCTACTTCATCTTCTTCTTCGTCTTCTTTTTTCTTCTTTCTACTTCTTCTTCAACTTTCTACTTCTTCCTACTTCTTCTTCTTTCCTCTTCTTCTTTCTACTTCTTCTTCTTCTTCTTCTTTAGAAGAAGAAGAATACAAGCTTTCTAATCACTATACTATCGTGCTAATGAATATGAATGCAAATAAACTATACGGCTATATGTCAGTAGACAGACGAAACGTATATTTCTGGGGAAAGACATACAAACTGATGTAAACAGACTACTCGTTCCCAAAACAACGGTTTAATTTTGTACCTAATCTTGCAGTGTTGACAGAAGGCTTGTAACAACAGCAAATGTTGTATCCGTTCATGAAGTATGGGTAGAAAGCTTGTAACAGCAGCAAATGTTGTACCCGTTCTTTGTGTGTTAGTACGAGGCTTGTAACAACAGCGAAAATAGCACGAAAAATATAAATACAGAGAACGCCAATAAAATGGGGACAGGCATAGAGCTGAAGATGTCTGCAGGTGGCCACCTGTGACGGTTGGGTTAAACAGACTACAGAAATATGTCAAACACCACGTTTTCTCTAGGTGTTAGTTTAAACAGGCGGTTCTTACCAACTGAACGGGTAAATGAGCAACACACGGAGACTGGCACACACCGTATGAAAACATTAACACTCTTTCACAACCTTTTATTATTTCGGCACTTGAAGTTTTACCAGACGACAGTCACCATATTCTAGCGTCAACTTAATGACACGGTTACAGCTTCATGAAGTTGCTACTATCATAAATGCAGTGTCCCCAGGGCGCCATCTTTCACGGCCTACATCGCAAAAAAAAAAAAAAATAGCCCGCAGAAAAAAAAAATGTTTCTGGGAGAACTAAAGTGGTTCCCGGGCCGTGGTGTCAACTCGACAAGGGATAACAATCATCATTATCACCAACAGCATCAACACAACCACTTTAACCCAGGATAATGTTCGCATTTTGGCCGCGGGCCGGGTTCAACGCGTGCAGTAGGACTCCCTGCTGTGACCAGCACAAGGGCTTTCTTAGCGTCACGTATGGAGCCATGAAAGGAACTACAACAGAACAATGTCGTTTTCTTATAGATGTGGGTGGAGAAGGCGACGGAGTTTCTAATTTAATACTTCTGCAGAGTCCGCTGCTGGCAAGGAATGCCACTTCTCTTAGCAGGCCAAAGCCACTTCTCTTCGCAGGCAAACACCACATTTCTTTGGCCGCCGCTGGAGACGTATCTCACTTACGTGGACCGTATTACTATTTGCACCGACAGTGTACCATTCTCTCTCTCTCTTTCTTTCTCTCCCCCACCCCCAACCCTGTTAGTCAGTCATTCTACCTGTGTACCCATATAACTGTTTCTGTT